GTGAGTCATGTTAATGGCTTAGAAATATCTGCAAACTTCCTTGTGAATCTCCGGTAGTACGTACATTGCTCAAAAAAACTTCCTATTTGATGTTTATCAGTTGGTTGTGACCAAAGCAACTTTCTCCTTATCTACAGCCACGCCATGACTATATGACCCAGGTAATTAACTGTATTTTGAAATAACTGGCATTTCTTGGGGTTTAGCATCACTTGAGCACCTTAAGGTATTTTAAAAACATCTAATTTCTTTAGATGTACATCAAATATCTTCCCCAAGACTACGATGTCATCTAAATAGACCAGGTATGTTTTCCAGGATAACCCTCTCAATACGTTTTCCATAAGTCTTTCAAATGTCGCAGGAGCATTAAATAGTCCAAATGGCATAACATTAAACTGCCACAATCCAGATTCGGTAATAAAAGCTGTTTTTTTATCTACTGGGTTCGTCTCCACCTATCAATATCCAGATTTTAGGTCTAAGGTAGAAAATAGTTTGCTTCTGGTCGATGTGTCAAAGGTGTCGTCGATTCAAAGCAGAAGATAATTGTCTTTCTAGATAACATTGTCCAAGTGACGGTTATCTACACAGAATCTCGTAGTTACATTTTTTTCTGGACCAGGTCTACCAAAGAGACTCATTGTCTTCCTCCATTTCCTAAACAATCCTTTCAGTTTCCTCTCTCTTGACCCTTGGTAATCTTCGAGCTGATTGACGAATCGACCTGGCGACACCAGTGTCAATTTTATGTTTCACAACAAATGTTCTTCCTTCTTTTCCTCCTTTTGGTACAAAAATGTCACGAGATCATCGATATTTTCTTCTTCGTTTATTCATTCAGATATTGACCAGCAACTGCAATTATCTCGAATTTGCCGTTGGAATTATCAGAAGTTGTTTTCTGACGAATTGTAGAAGTTATTAATACACAGGTTCCGATTCTTGATGATAATTTGGTAATCATTAACGTTTATGAGACGGATTGGAATTTCTTTATCAGTCGTCACCAACCCATTTCCAATCAGAATTCCTGGTCTAACCTCTTCATCGTGTTCCGAGGTTCCATCATGAGAAGTGTTCCTTCTTCCATAGTTTCTTGAAGTTGTGCTACTATAATGGTTTCACTTCTGTCAGGTACCACCGTGTCTTCCTGTACAGCTACTGGCACAGTACTATCCCCATATGGATGTAGAACTACCTCTTCGGCAGCAACTTTGATCACTCTCTTCTTAAAATCTAACTGGACGCCATGTAAGTTCATTACATCCATCCGTAGTATAACATCTTCGATATGAGCGACAATAACAGTACGAGTGAAATTTTCTGTACCAATTCCTAATTGAACCTGGATTCCCCTATGAATGTTGGCACTTTCACCTTTGGCCGTCCGCAGTCGCAACCTTGATGGTAGAAGTCTCTTGCGGTTATTTATGGTTGTTGGTCGAATAATGGTCCTGGTTACTGCAGTATCCACCAACAGTGTATATTTTTTTACCATTTACTTCGCCGTCTACGTATACATTATCATCGCGACATTTTAAAGAGGCTAGCAGCATGAGAAAGTCTTTGTAACGGTGTCCGTTCGAAGCTGCTCCATTTAGGCCGACTTCCTCTAGTTTTCCTCTAGTGACCTTAGTGCAAACACCCTAGTGACTCTAGGGTGTTAGCACGAACTGCGTACATGTCCCAGTTCACCGCAATTCAAGCACCTGATGGTCTTAATCTTCATCTTTTTATAAGTACACATCATGTTAACCTTCCTCTTCTTGCTTTTTTACAATCCTCACTTTACTGTATCAACCAGAAGCATGCCTAGCTGCTTCATACTCTAAAGCAGCGACAAGACATCGACCAATGTTTTGTGCCAAGCTAAGCGTAATGTTTTCTACATCTCGTGGTCACTGAGTTCATCAACAAATGTTTGGACTGCCAAACATTCCATCATGTTCTTTGGAGCTGATGAGTAGGCAAATCGCACCAACTTGGTAATATCTACTTCATATTCTTGAAAATTATCGGCTCGTTTCTCTTTGCGATTCTTTAGCTGTGATTGATACAAATGTTCTAAGTGTTCGTGGCCATATTACATATTTAGTCTCCTTTTGAGTTGTTCAAAATCATCTGTCTCTTCCACGGGTATAGCCTGAAGAATATCTAAAGCATTTCCATGCAGGGCGATGGTCAAATTTACTGCCTTTTCTCTTTCAGACCATTCGTTCACTCTCGTAGCTGTTTCGATCTGTTTAACGTAGGTGGTCCATGACATCTTCCCATCGAAAATTAGGGCTTTAAAACGAGCAGAACTTTCAAATGCTTTTCAGCTTTGAATCCACCTCATACCACTTTATTTCACCGTCCTTGACCTGGTATACGTGTTCAATTTCTTCTACTTTCTTTTCCATCTCTTTTATTTTCTCCACAACGAAAGACATTATTTTTTCCTCAATAAAAGAAATTTTATTTCTTATAGAAGATATATCAAAGAAGACTTTTTCTTTGAAGAAATTTTAGTTTTCAAGGAGAAAATGTCGGAGTAACTCTAGTTTCTAAAGAGGAAATGTCATTTTTTATGGAGGAAACATCAGCAAGAATTTCAGTTTCCATCATACGAAACTTTGGTTTCTAAAGAGGAAATTTCGTTTTTCATATCGAAACAAATTGAAGAAATTATAGAAGAAACATCATCCGAAAATAGATACGTTTACGGATCTAAATCTTCACTTTTTATTGCTTTTTTTGCCGTTCTGCCAGTTCTGCTTTCTTCCCTGACGTCTCCAGATCACGATCCTCTAATTATCGACGCAATTTAGTCACATTTAAATCACACAGTTTTTTAGCCATTTTTGTCCACTATTTATTTACAATCCCACTTCTGACATCAATGTAATATTGTTTAATTTAATAATAGTTTATTTTTAATTTATTTATAACTTACTAATTAATTTATTTAATACTTAGGCACTACTATAACTCACAATTCCGATTTATTTATCACAATTTATCTTTTCTATACAACACTTATATTGAAACTTAACGTCTACCGACAAAGTCGCGATATTTATACGAAAATAAAACAGTCTAGAAAGAAACAACTCTAACTAGAATCTCAATCTAGCAGTTCTGGAAATTATTATCCACGCGTCAGACTGTGGTAGAAAACATTCGAGTCGGTTTTCTCGAGTCTCGAGGCGGGTCTCGACTTTCATAATAACAATCAGTTTTGGTTGACTTTCAGTTAAAAGTAACAGTCATTTTTTCAATCATTTTTTTAATAGGCAAATTTTTATATAATTAAAATTGATTTTGAATATTTTCCTAATATCTAAAAAAAAAAATACAATAATACGAAACAGATTATTGTTCAGTCGCCAAATAAAAAAGAAAACTATTGAGGAAGAAGTTGTAAAAAGTTTCTTCAAATAACAAAATCATAAATTTCGTTAAGTAATAGGCTTCATTTTAATGAAACATAAAATAAAGCGAGTTTGGTTTAGTTATATTAAAATGAGTATTTTATTTTCTTTAGTAGAAATAAATTTTTAATTTTTATTACGTGCTAAACAGATTTACAGCAGGTTGCAAGAACAGTTTATTAAAATTAACGGTTTTAAGGTTTTATGTCATTCAGACAGATTACATAATATTTATCAAACCCATAAATTTTAAAAAATGTTCTTGAAATCTGCTGCTATATTACAAATCGTAGATTATTTGAATATTAAAACTTTTTGCACAATGTAATCACTGTACTTGTTTTCATGGTAACGTTTGTAACTTGATACTTGTTATTTTGGGAGTGGGTCAGGTTATTAAATAACTCGTATTACCTTGAAAAAGAAGTTGGGCACCACTATATTTAAAACTTATTATACTTGACTATAGATTAGTGATAAAAATATAGAAAATCACTAACCATTATTATAATATTATATTTAAACAAAGTTTTAGATAAGGCAGTAACAAATTCTAATTCACAGAGATTTACTTAATTAAAATTTAGATGGTTTATTGCATAAAACTTATCTGATATAACAGGAGGTATATTGGAGTGATCTGATGGTATATTAGGCCTTCTTCAAAGGGACTCGAACGATATTTATCGGATAGCACCAAACTCTTAGGTATAATTCTCCAGAAATTGTTTTAGATATAACTTGAAATAAAGTTCTTGATATAACTCGAAATAAACCTCTTGATATATCTCGAAATAAACCTCTTGATATAACTCGAAAGAAACTTCTTTAGATATAACTCGTACTAAACTTCTTAGATACAGCTTGAACTAAACCGTCTAGATATAGCCAGGCTTAAAGAGAAAAGGTAAAAATATTAAGGAAATAGGATATTTGCACAGGAACCAGATAAAATACCTTTAACTAATAATTGAACAATTTGAACTATTAAGTGAATAGTTTCACAGGACTAAAATTAATATGAAAAGGAAAAATCTTATTTAACATATTCAAACATAGTAAAGCATAATATCTTACTTTAAACAAAATAATATATAAAATTATATAAAACGTGTTATCCATGTGTTATTTAAAGTTGATTTCGAGGTTATGTTTAAAATTTTACATTTCATTTAAGAAATTCTTGTACAAAATATATATTTTCAACAATATATTGGTATTAAAGCTTACCTTATAAAATCAGACGGAATATACGATAGATAAAATTTATTTAGTACATCGGATGACGTAGATAATTTAAAATTTAAATCAACTTGATTCGTTGACAGATACAAATCGAAAATGAAATACGAACTTTTGACACAAGGCATAAACGACAAATGACATTAGAGTAGAGATGTTTGCGTCAAAATAACGAAAACGGTTCCAACCGTTTCACTTTAAATATCGGTTCGGTATTATATTCGTTATCGTACTGTTAAACTTTTTAGTTTATATAAATAGCCTATAATGACACAGGCATAGATAACATCTATACTTATTCACAAACGAATTACATCTCTAATCGTAATATTTTTGTTCCAGATTCGTGGAAGAAAACTAGACCGTTCCTCCAGATCTATGAAGCTCTCAAAATTGTATCCTGACACCAAGTACCTGATCTGCGTTCTCGCTTTGGGCAACTGGGCTTTCAACTTCAAAGATATCCCATCTCAAAGTTTTCACATTTCAGAAAACGATTCCAATGACATGGAAATATTTGCTGATACAATGCGCCCTCTGTTGGTGGACTCACCTACAAGCAGATGCGCAGAAGTTAACACTTTAGGAGCTCCAGATAGCCTACACGTGGGAATGGGGATATTGCCCGATCACTCAATGGGCACACAGTCTATTTTGACAAGGAGGCTGGGACTTATCATAGGTTGTTGTATGGGATTTGTGGTTTTCGTGGGACTAGTATCCGTGTTAGGGTATCTTAAAGTGAAGAAGCAGAGGAGAGCGGTTAAGAGGGACCAACCTTTACCACCAGAGTATCTTTCATATAGACATTTTTCGATTCAAAGTGGGGAAGCCGGAGTTCATCCTCATTTTATCACTAATATGAATACGACTGTGTTGAACTGAATTGAGTTGTTAAGTTTCAATGGTGCTGCAAAATTTTGGGCTGAACACTTTTTCTTTATAAAGGGTATTTCAGAAAAAATAACCATAAATTAAAAAACGAAAAGAAGTGGATTTTTAATCCATTCGAATGATTCAAGTAACACTGAATCTTTCTACGAAGTAAAAAAAAATTATAAGAAGGAATGTTGTTTTTTTTAAATAATTGAAAGAGTTCTGGATTCTGTAAGCCAGAACCAAATTAAAGTTATTATTGGTCGAGAGAATTAATTAAATTATATATAAGTATTTTTGCAACTAAAATATTCCTTATCTTGAAATTATATCTTTATCTTGAAGGAAGATTTTGGATGGGATGATGTATTTCCAAAAATTAATTAATAGTAAAACAAACTATTTATTTATTTATTTGTTCATTTCTTCAAACACCCTGTAGGTATTACGAAGCAATAAAAAACAAGTATTATTAAAAAATATACCTATAACATACTATTTATTTAAAACATCAGGAGTACCTAAAAGTATATGTATTTTTTAAAAGATCTTGACTTGATTTTTGTAAAACTGGAAATATTTCAAAATACAAAATAATAAATTAATAGTCCTTTTGTAAATTTTAAACAAAATAAACAAGTAATGTTCGAGAAAGTTGAAAGAACATAGGTTAACACAGACAGTAAAACGTTTAGTTATTTGTTTTTCATGAAAAGTAGTTGGTACAATTTTTATATTTTTTAACCCCTAAAAAGGATTACAATCAAAATTTTGCGGCAACCATTGACTTTTGTATTATAAAAGGACATGCATAACTGTTATCATTAAAAAAGCAAAATTTTATCTGTCAGAACATTTTATTTTCTCCAGTTTTACAACCCTATATTCTAGAAAGGAAATATTTGGTTACAGTTTCCATTGTTGGGTGCCTTTGTCCATTTTGAGGATATTTTAATTAATTAAATCATTCTAAACGTTTTAAAAAATGATTTACCATATGGAACTGCACGAAATTAACAAAATTTCTGCTTACTCATTGGTTGTCGGATTTACCATTTTTTAAATAGTTCATAGTATTAAAATTTTAAAAAGGTTTTTGATTCTTCTTAAATTTTTTGGCTATACGAATCAGTTCCATATTACCGTATCTATCATGAACAGATTCATACTTCTATTGCACTTTTATGCTTGCAGATTTGTTGTTAAACTTCCAGGTACATACTTGAGTGATTTCCTTACTTTAGAATCATTTTTGTAAATCTGATATTAATCGGAAATCGCCTGAAAATGTTAAGTCGACAAATTTCAAAATATGTTAATATAAAACTGCGTGTTAACTTATTTCATATATGATAATCACACATACTAAAAGAGCGAAAATATTTACATTTTATGTAATATGCCCTGCATAAGTCTAATAACTCCTGAGATAACTCGACTTGAGTGTTAATTTTGGATAAATTATTAGAAGCGAAGTCAAAAATTATTAAATGAGCTCAAGAGTACCATTTTGTAATTTAATAGAAATTATAGCCGCCTATCTCCGCCGTTGCATTATCTAACATTTAAAAATCTAGTTAATTACACTCATAAACTTCCTATATAAGTACATCTTTTATTTTCGACCTTGTTTATGGACTTAGGGCTTTATACTTTCTCTAAAAATAACTTTTAACTGCTAAATATTTTTTCAACATATTTAGCACATACCTATCTTGTTATAGTCAAAAGTAATACATTTCCTAAAGATTGCTTCTTAATAATAATGGAGTGATCTAGATACGGAATAAAAGTAACACATGTGGTGAAAATTTCGTGTTACACCACTGATTAAAACAATATTTAATGCAAGTTACTTTGTTGCTTAGTTCTTTAATTTTTTGCATTATTTTTCATTTTTATTGATTCGCAATTTTGTTATTTGGTACACCATTTTTTTTTAAACAATTTATAACATGGGTGGCTCAGTGGTAAAGTCTGGGCTTGCGAATACAAGGGTCCGCAGTTCGAATTTCACTTTTGGGAATTTTTTAGTTTAATGTAATTATATAAAAATAATTCTGATGCCTAGGTAGGAATCCTCAATCCGATCATTCACTGTTGGGTTCTAATTAACAATGCTATTCCTCAAGTGGCGCTGGGAAACAGTAACAAAGCCTATACATGAAAGAAAATTAAACACAAACTGAGACTGGTGTATCCATCTAAAACAAAATAAAAAAAATAATATTATTAGGGCTCAATATTAAAAGTTCTGAAGAGATAGTCTATCTACTTTAGCACAAAAAATATTGTACGCGCCACACTCGGAAAGTGTATTTACAGGGCTTGCATGCTTTCAGGGCTCCGCCTTCAGCGTCGCGCAGTGCGGCAGAGCGACGATTTTGCGGCCAAAATTCGAAAAGTTAAGGGAACGTTCTGTAATTTGGTATTTGGGAGTTTTTGGGGTCGCTGATTACGATTCCGTTATTAGAATTTACAAATGGCGGATCCAATATGGCCTCGTGTTATACAAAAAAAATAAAAAATTTAACAGCTGGTCTAAAACGTATTTTTATAGTTATTAGGGTCTGTGACTAAGAATTTATCAAAAATGAAAAAATTAAAAATGGCGGAATGCAATATGGCAAGACAAACAATTTTTATTATAATTAAATATAGTGACATACAAATTAAGAGTTTATTAAAATACAATTATATTACAAGAAGAAATTTTAATGTGTGCAACAGTCGCAAGCGTCATCGTAATCTTCTACATCATCTGTACCTGACTCAGAGGCCGAGCTACTTTTAATCATTTCTTGTTCTTCTTGAATATTTACAGATGGAGATAATAATAAATTAATGGATAAAGATTTGAGCAATTTAACAGGCAACATTTGGCAACTGGAAATGTATGGATCAGATGAAACTAAAAATGTTTTAAAAACATCCTCCATTGTTTTTTGACGATATTTTTTTTCTTGTAAGCTGAAGGCGATAGATTCTGAAAAATTTGTTACAGGCCTCGTGCGCATCTTCGGATATTTGACCGATAGGTAACACTGAAATTTGTATTTTTTCTGGGTCATGAATTAAAAGTTTATGGACAAAACTAGGCATGTAATACCAATGAAATGATTTATTAATTGTAATAAAAATTCAAAGCACCGAATCCAATAGTGTAAAGAAGAAATACCGAATAATAATAATTTTCTGGTTTAACATTTTATCTATATCATTAAAACTTTTAGATGTGCAATTGCATAGATAGCAACACATCTGTATCTGTAACGTGTGAAGGGTGGGTTACTCCCACGGTACTTAGGCCTCATTAAGCCCATTGTGCATCCTCCTGAGATGATAGGCACCTCCTAGCTCGTGAGCCAGCCTACAGATTTTCTGTAGTTGACAACGTCGCCAAGACGTGCCCTCTTATATCGGCCGGTGTTAGCCGATACTCGCCGAACACAAATCTTCTAATAAATGAGAGCATCGGGCAATCATTAAGTATATGCTAGATGGTCTCATTTTCTTGTTCGCATCCTCTGCAGAGTGCGGATTCTGACAGCCCCATGATATGGAGATGCTTTCGTTCTTGGCAATTACAAGTCAGAATGCCTGTGACTAGGCGCTGATTCTGTCTAGTCATAGTCAAGTATTTATTTGCTGCAGTGTTGTCAGGATAACTTAAGAGCTCCCTGGCAACTCTGCAGTTTCTTCTTTCATCCCATCTTTCCTTGAATTTCACAAGGGAATGTTCTTTGATTAGGTCTGTCACTACCGATTTTGTAAGGCCAAAAGAAGGGCTAGGTCCAAAAAGTATTTGGTTGACTGCTTTCTTGGCTAGTGAATCAGCAAGACGGTTACCTTTCGATGTGACGTGATCTTTGATCCATCTTAAGGTAACCACATTGTTGATGGATACTTTGACCAAAGCTTCGTGACATTCTAGTACTAACCCTGAGTAAATTCGTGGTCTGTTCAGGGCGAGTAGTGCTTGTCTGCTATCTGTATAGATGAGCATGTTCCTTCCAGTGATATTGTTTCTGGTTATTTCTTTTGCTGCTATGAGAATACCCGTTAGCTCTGTTTGAACTACACTGGCACTATTACTCACAGCCCATTTTATGTTTAGGTTTTAGAATCTGGAGTTTATTCCACATCCATTTAGACTACAGTAGTTTTCTTTGTCAAAGTATCTACGTGTACAAATTGCAATGGGACACAAGACACAAAAAAAAATTCTTTCATCACTAGCACTGTTTTTGTTGAGCTTCTGTTTGTATTTACTATGCCCTACTACCATCACAGCCCCACTTACCAATTAAATTTAAATTTTCGAGTTTTTTCTCTGATACAGTTTTTATTACTTCCATTTAATAAAGAATAATGCGTTCAATTGTGTGATGTAGTAGAAGTTGCAATTTTACATCTGCTTTATTTGCAGTGGTAGAAAGACCTGCAGCTGGATAACATTTTAATTTTGCTGTTTGTAGCTTTTTATATGATGGAATCATCTCCAAATGAGCATTACGTAGCTGCTGATATTTACTTTGCGATAATTCAAGTTCTATAAATAATGATAATGCTTCGTCATTTATTTGTGAACGGTAGGTTAATATTTATGGAATCCAAAGATCTTCTATACTTTGTAGCTTTAGTAGGACTCCCTTTTGAGATATCTTGTACCACTTTTACAAAATCCATTTTTCCTTCGGACCGCAATTTACTCGTTGCTGAATAAAGGAGTACTTCAGTCGATACTGTGCCTCGTAAATCTTCTGTTTTTCTTCGTTCAGAAAACCGTAGAAACTGAGTTGTGGTCGACCTGAATTAGGATTATTTTCATCAGAATTATTCTTTTCCGAATCTTTAATTTTTCTTTTTGTTTTTAGTTCAACAGATTTCTGCAGTCAAGCATGATTTTTTTTACAAATGTATGCTACGTTCTGGCATTTTCATTCCATCTTGTTCTCACCTTGAACACCAAATTTTTTATTGTCTCTTTCTCGTCATCTGATAAAATATATTGTGTACCTCGTTCAGTTTTTGCATAAATATTTGTCACGTCTTCTTTTAATCAATTGCAGTCTTGTAAATCCCTCTTTAGTCAAAGTATTGGAACCTAAAAAACAAATAGCAATTTATTTTTGTAACTTAAAAAAATTAAACAATAAATCTTATAAAGAATTCTAATCTTAATTATAATCATAAATCTCTTCCAGAATGATTTCTTTCATTTATGATTATAACTCTTGTAACGAATATCCTGCTTAATTTTTGAAAAAAAAAATCATAAAAATTCACGTGGCAGCTGGATTTTGTTTTATTTACTAGATACTACTTTTATGTATAACCTGCAACTCTATTTAAAGCAGCAATGTACGGCAATCTATTACTTTTTCATCTAACAATTTTATGAATAGTAATACAAAAAAAAATAAATATATTTTCTATTTTGCCAATTAATTCCCAAAAATTGTTTCAAATATTTTACTAACCTTCAGTTGAATATTCCATTTTGTCCTGCTTGTTTTTGTTTATTTCCAGAACTTTCACACGATAGTAAAGAATCGTATAGCGTTCGTTCTGTGACTATAAAGGTACCATTTGGGTAGGCGCGTCAGGAGACAAGCGACCACTGAAGCGACCCCAAGGTCGAGTAGGAAGACAGATGCATAAATGTTACGCTTCGTACATTTGGCAAGCTTGAGAAGTGTCGCGCGACATTTACAGGGATAACCATTCGAGGGAACAATCAGCGTTGCCAGACCTACTGTTTTCACGTAGATCTACTGTTTTTGTCTCTAGCAAATTTTGTTCTTAATTTATTAAGTTTGCCTCATTCTTCAGCAAATGGTTAAAGAAT